ACGAGATAGCCCAAACACCGTCTGGGCCAGCCCTGCTCTGAGACCGGGCGGCTCTGGTGGATGTCTCGAGCGCCGCGGCCTTCTCAGAGCGCTTCAGAACTCTCTGAGAGCGATCCAGAACGCTCGGGAACGGATCCACCCTCGTCCTAGCCCCGTCCAAATGGCACCGAGCACGTCCCCGAGCACATCCCCAGGACATGGCCCCTGGCAGGCTCCCCGACGCGTCCTCGGACACGTCGCCGGACGCGGCCCCGGGCACCCCGACCGTACACTGCTCTGTGGGGCCAGGGCCAAGATCCTCGAGAGGGGTGTGGAGCTCCCTGTGCGGCCAGGGCCACGATCCTCAGGAGGGGTGTGCCGAAATGAAACTTCGGAGGAGCCCTCTGTGAGGCCAGGGCCACGATCCTCGAGAGGGATGTGCCAAAATTAACCTTCGGTGGAGCTCCCTGGGGGGCCAAGGCCACGATCCTCGCGAGGGATGTGCTGAAATGAACCTTCGGTGGAGCTCCCTGTAGGGCCAGAGCCACGATCCTCGAGAGTGGTGTGCCGAAATGAACCCTCGGTGGAGCTCCCTGTCGGGCCACGGCCACGATCCTCGACAGGCGTGTGCCGAAATGAAGCTTCGGTGGAGCTCCTTGTGGGGCCAGGGCCACGATCCTCGAGAGGGGTGCGCCGAAATGAAGCTACGGTGGAGCTCGCTGTGGGGCCAGGGCCACGATCATCGAGAGGGGTGCGCCGAAATGAAGCTACGGTGGAGCTCCCTGTGAGGCCAAGGCCACGGTCTTCGAGAGGGGCTTGCTGAAATGAACCTTCGGTTGCTGGTTGCTGGTTGCTGGGGGGGGTCCCCGGGCAACAAGGTCACGTGTCAATCAACAACAACAACAACAACAACAACAACAACAACAACAACAACAACAACAACAACAACCACAACCACAACCACAACCACAACCACAACCACAACCACAACCACAACCACAACCACAACCACAACCACAACCACAACCACAACCACAACCACAACCACAGCAGCAGCAGCAACAGCAACAGCAACAGCAACAACTACAACAACAGCAACGACAACGACAACGACAACGACACGACCACGACGACGACGACAACGACGACAACGGCAACAACAGACAATAATCAAAAACAAAGAACCAAAAAAACAAAATAAGCATTCATGTTCGGAGGTCCGTGCGAATTCCTTCGATCGGCGTTGGGCCCCCTCCCGCTGGCGCGCGGAGCGCGCCAGAGGGGCTGCCAGAGGAGCCCAGCGCCGATCCAAGAAATCCGCGCGGGCATCCGGAAATTCACGGTGCTGCAGCGTCTCTTCTGCGATCTTTGTCCCCTTCCTCTCCGTCCATTCCCCAAAGATCCGACGTCATAATTTTTCTCGCAGCGTGGACCCCCAGAGGTCTCGAGGTCTGGGCCCGTTCCCCGGGATCGGCGTGCCATCCTGCGGCGTTCTCTGACGGTCCTGGGGCTCGGCGAGGGCCCCCGGGGGCCGAAAACACTGGCAAGAGCCTCATGTCGAGCTTTTCTGTTCACGACGCGAGGGAGCCTGACCCCCCTCGCCCTTCCCCTTCCCCCCCTGGCCCTCAACTGGGACGCAGAAGGACACACTCTCCTCCTCGGAGGCACCCGTCCGGCCCGAGCATGCAGTACATCCGTCTTGCAGTACCTCGTTTCCCGAGAGGTGCGGGCAGAAAGCGCCCGCCACCGACGATACACGTTGAGAGTTCTCGGCGCGCGCGTCGCCCCCTCGGGGGCGACGCACCCATGGGCGATTCCGGAAACCCCGAACCCAAAAACTGTTTCATCTCTTGGGGGCGCGTGTTTTCCTTGGGCCGCCTTCCGCCGCCTCTCACTTCCGCCGACCTTCCGCCGCCGTTCCGCCGCCTCCCGCGGCGGAAGCGATGACAGCTCCCTCGACCCTCAAGGGCAGGGCCGTTTCTGGAATGCCCCACACAGCATTCAAGTCTTGGCATGTCTGGGTGGCGCCGATCAGAGTGTCGTCGGGACCACTTCCCCGAGGCGTCCAGCAGCCCGGCGTCGAGGGCCGCGCGCACCTGGGCGGGAGCGCGCGACAGGGAGGGGGGCGCGGAGGCACCGGCAGCAGAAGGAGAGGGAGACGAGGGGGCAGAGGGAGGAAGGGGGAGGAGGCGGAGGAGGAGGCGGAGGAGGAGGGAGAGGGAGAGCGGGAGGAAGGCAAGCCAGGTGCGCTCGCGTCATATCTCGCGTCAGGGAGGAGGAGGGGGAGGGGGAGAAGGAGCAGACAGCAGCGCTACCCTTGCCCTTATGGGCTACTCTGCTTTTCCCTCTCTGCCTGCACGCCCTGCTCTGCACGCGCCATCTGCTGAATCCGTCTGTCGCTAGGCTTAAGTCGGCCTCGCACTTGCTTCCTCACAGTAATTAACGCTTCACCCTCGTCGCCGACGCCCGACCAACGTAAAAAGGAGGAAGAGGAGGGGGTTGACTGCCCAGGAAGCTCGCACTTGTTTCCTCACAGTAACGCTTCAGCCTCTTCGCCGAAGTCCGGCCAACGTAAAAAGGAGGAGGAGGTTGTGACTGCCCAGGAAGGGGGGTGGGAATGAAGTCAGGAAGGGGCAAGGAAGGTGGGAAAAATGAAGGGGGCGATCGGATGACAAGATGGCGATGAGCCTCCCAGTCGTCTAAGGTTTCGCGGGGGCAAGCGAAAGCGAAAGGACGGGCTTCACACAAAAAACAGACCCTTCCCAGCAGTTTCATTTTGTCTTGAAGGAATATAGCGCCCTCTTGTCAGAGGCCACTCGAGCAAAATACGAAACCAGAAGGCTGAGGCAGGCTGGGGAAGAAAACTTGTTGCGTCGGCGGCGAGGCAGGGGTCGTCGGCGCTAGCGGAAAGGCCTAAACGGGGGTGACGTTCAAGCGAATTGTGCCACCATGCAGGAGGCGGGAAGAGGCGGAGGACGCGGCCGAAAGAGGGGACAGGGGAGCGAAGGGAAAGAAAACATCAAGTCCCACTCACGGCCCCCAACCGCCCACCGCCACCGTCGGCACGGTGAGCCCCCACCCGATCCTCTCCATCGCGAGAGACAACGCCTGCACAGGATCCTGGCACGAGACCCAAGGCATGGACTTCGCGGCGTGAGCCAACGCTTGGCCCATACCGACTATCGGCAGACTTGGCGGCTCAAGTGGCCGCTGAGGTTGGCAGCTGAGGTCAGCAAAAGCGGATCTGGGCGAGCCCCTAGTGTCAGGCCTAGGGAAGTCCCCTTGCGCAGACAAGGCTCCACATTCGCTGCAACCACGCGGAGGCCATCCAAACAGCCGTCTGGGTTACCAGTGATGCTGGAGCCCCAAAGAGCCACCAGCGACGGGCCCGCCCTGTTGATCGAGCCGATGTCGGCCCCTCCCCTCTGAAGGAGCCTGAGACGAAGGCCGTGGCGATATGCATCCAGGACCCTGTCTACGTGGGTCGCGCATCTCCGACACCTGTCACCTCACGCGTCGCCTCCCAAGTCGCTGCGGACCTGGGCGCGCGCTTCGGGCCCCATCGGGAGCCTGGGACTGAAGAACTCCGCCAGGACACTGTTGCTAGCCAGCCAGCCAGCCTTGTTAAAGGAAATGGGGAGCCCCCCTTTTTCGCACATCGCTGGCGGCTGCCACGAAAGCTCTATCGAGTAGGATCCCGACTGTCTCTGGTCCACCCAGGGCCTGATTCGAAACATCATCGATCACACTGCGCAACGACACATCAGGGCTATCTCGGGCCGCCGCGACCAGAGTGGAGACGAGCATGACTCTAGCTGCCGAGGTGGCACACGAACAGCCTGCAACGGCAGTGCCGTTGGCAAATACTAGCTCGCTGGTGATGCTCTGGGAGAGCTCGCTCGGCGGCCGGTCCTGTGTAAAGAGCTCGGGTCCCGAAGCAGCTGAAGAGGGAACTGAGCAACCCTAGTGCAGCAGATCACTGTGGCTAAAATGCTCATTTAACTTCCGAAGGTCCGAAGCAGCCAAGGCCACCGAGAGGCCCTGCCTTCTGGCCCACGGGGCTGAAACATCATTCTGGATCCAGGCACTCCTGTCACGTGCCGACGAGCTGTCCTGGGCCCCGAAAAGCGTACGACCGCGGGAACGCTCCCACTTGTCACTCTCAACGTGCCTGATATCTGAACACATTTGTTTTGCGTCGGCGGCTAGGCAAGATAACTGCGCTGGAGGAGGGCTCCCTAAACACGGTTACCGTTGTAGCGAGTTGTGCCACCGTGCAGGAGGGGGGGGGGGAAAGCAGAGGAAGCGGCCGAAAGAGGGGGCGGCGCAAGGAGCGAGCCGCTCAGGAGAACGGGTCACGCCTGACATCTGAACACAATCGAGCCCAGAACTGGCGGAGGCCGACAGGCCTGTCCCTCTCCCCACGTTGGACCGTCCAAAAGCACCGTGGGCACCAGCCACGAACTTTCGATGTCGGGACTCCGCTCCCAGGCATTCCAAAATGTCCGCGGACCTGGGCAAACTCTTTGGGTAATTGGGTCAACAGCCTGGGGCGGAAGCCGTCCCACCACAAAGGCTGTGTTGAGGTGGAGAACGTACTGCATGCCTGGAGGACCTGGTCCGCAGTGACAGAGGTGGAGGTCGGAAGCTTCATCCCAGGACCGACGGTGAGGCTCCGCGGCGCTCACGGGGTTATGCCAGATGTTGTTGAGGTCAAGCGCCCTTCGTCAGGCTGCCACAATGATATGACATGTAAACACCGAAGGTGGTGCACTCACTTAGTGAGACTCTTCTGAAGGATTCGTAAGCCGGCCATGAGTCCCTGCAACCCTATGTCGAAAGCCGATCGCGCATTCGCATCACATGCTCTTCCGTCCCTTCCACAAGTGGGCTAGAGCCTGCTGTCCCGCCAGCGGAGCGCAGCCCTCACCCCCTCCACGCGGTCGGTCAAAACGGGGCGCCTGACGCTCCCGACAGGCCCTTGCCAAACCGACGTGCTGGCTTACCTCCTCTGGAGGCCGCCTCCTTACAGAAGGCTCACCGCTGCTCACAGGGCCTGCTTCGCATCCGAAAAATAGTCCTTGTTGGCCGGCATCCAGGATCGCAGCAAGCAAGCGGCGGCCAGTGCCTGTGGGGTGCGGTGGACTGGGGGACGTCGTGGCGCTCCCGTGGGCCAGTCGCTCCGCATCGTGGAAACGCCTGCAGCTGCTGCTGCCCTGCGCAGCTGGGCTCTGACACATCTCATATGGCATACGGCGTTTGTCGTCATCGTAGCCTGTGAGCGTCCAGGGCGAATACCATACGGATTGCAGAACAGCCATAAGCTCAGGCAATTCGGGGAACGGAGTGTGAACATTGAGAAGGTTGGGAAAAGTGTGATTGTGCGTCAACATGGCGGTGAAAGGAAAGAAATATGGCGGCAATGGCGACATGAGCGACAGCAGAGCGGCGGTCTCTTTCCTCTCAACACTATACATGTTCGCGGGCCCGCTGTGAGCCAGACGGCAGCGGACCCCTCAAATTCGAGGTAGAGAACGAGAGGAGGAGGAGGAGGAGGAGGAGGAGGAGGAGGAGGAGGAGGAGCCAGGCCGAACAAAGGAAATGTGCAGCGGGATTACCGCCCCTCTCGCGTATTGTTTCCCGACGCGGGACCCCATGATATTGCACTCCCTACACTGTGCGTCTGCTCCACCATCGGAACGCCATGGGCCCTTCAAAACATGAACCCGCCAGGACCCCAAATAAGGGAAAGTTTCTCTTGCATGGGCGCAGTGCTTGTCATTGCTTGGCATTGCTTGGCATTGCTTGGCATTGCTTGGCATTGCATGGCATGAAGCACCAGGGGCGGGGAACCAAAGGAACCTGGGGAACCCAAGGAACCCCTGGCGGGGGCGGGGAACACGGGGAACCTGGGAAACCCGCGGAACCCGGGAGACCTCCGAGAAACAGGCAACGAAACAATACGACGAGGCACTGGGCGGGGAACCCGGAGAACCCGGGGAACCTCCGAGGAACGGGCAAAGTAACAATAGGAAGCACCGGGAGCGGGGAACCCAGGGAACCCGGGGAACCCGTGGGACCTCCGAGCAACGGGCAACGTAAGAATACGAGGCACCAACATTCAACCAAGTAAGAACCCCCAGAGCAAGCTTAATTGGGGAACGTCACTCCCGCTGCAGCGCTGGTCACGCATCTCAAGAGCAGTGCTTTGCTCCCGTCGTTCAGAATGACGTTCTCGCCCAAGCACCAGCCACATCTCTGGATCTGATGCCTTCCTCGTCATTGCCGTCTCCCCCGATTCCCTCTTCCGCCCGCCCCTCGCCCCCCTCCTCCTCCTCCTCCTCCTCCTC